AAGAGGGCTGGGGACTGGTCCCCACTGCCTAGAGCCCCGGGGGCAGGTGGTGGCTGGCAAGGGCAGGGCAGGGCAGCCCACCTTGTAGGACGGGGCCAGCTTGATGAAGATGGTGGTCCTCTTGTCCCAGATGACAATGACACCGATGCTGGCCTCCACCACCAGGTACTGGCCCACCTCCCGTGTGGTGTAGGCCACGTGGTCACCCTCGTCACGCTGGATCACCACACGGTGCTTGTCCTCCAACTTCAGCTCTGTCCTCTGCCAGGAGAGGGCAGGTCACTGGCTGGCCGGGGGTCCCCGAGGGCTCACTCGTCTCGGGTGGGCGGCACTCACCCCCATGAAGATCTTGATGGCCTTGGAGCAGGTGACGCCCGTGGTGCCACAGGGCACATTCTCGGTGATGATGCTGAAGGAGCCCCGCGAGGAATTCCCACAGTAGTCCTGGGACCACAGGGCACTGTCAGCTGGGACGGCCAGGCCCCAGGACCCCAGGGCAGCCCGCCCAGCTGGGGCAGCCGCCGGCAGACAGACCCTAGCTCGGCCCCTTCCGGTCCACCCTGCTCAGACCCCTGCAAGCCCAGTTGGCTAGGGACAGTGGTGCCACACACGGGCGTGGGGAGAGCCCACGTGGGCAGCTGCCTGGCCCAGGCCGCCCCTCGACCTGCCTTCCCTCCCATACGCCCATGCCCCTTTGACCCGTGGCTGCACTGTCAGTCCCTAGGTCCTCTCCTGCATCTCAGGTCTTCCTTGTGGGCTGAGACCCACGCTCAGGGCGGGCAGAATGCAGACCTCCAGCAGGCCTAGCCCGGCCGGTGCCCACGGCCTCACCTGAACAGCCACGTAGGAGCAGTGTCCGTCGAAGTCGTAGTACTTCCCATCAAAGGTGATGTAGTGGCCGCTCCCATAGATGGAGCAGGTGCCATGGCACACGGACTGGGTGCATGCCCAGCGTCCTTTCTGGCAGGTGCTGAGGAGAGTGGGAGAGAAACCTGAAGCGTCCTGGGTGCTGAGTCCCCACTCCGCTCAGGAGGCCAGGACGAGGCCCTAGACGCCCTGTGGACAGCTTCCCAGGCAGCCCACGCAGGACACAAAAGTGGCTCCAAGGCTGGCGACAGACCCAAGAGACCCCTCTGACCACAGGGTATGGCCATCAAAGTATCGTGAGACCTAGGCAGCCCTGCAGAAGAGGCACTTGCCTCCCGGCCTGTGTCCTAGTGGCAGCCATGTTGAAATCCACGAGGGCCTGGGCGGGTGGGGAGGCCAGGTGGCTCACCAGGTGTTGCAGTCCACCTTGATCCTGTCCCCTGGGGAGTACAGGTCCTTGTTGTGGACACAGGGACAGTTCTCCTCCATGACACAGCCGCCTCGGCCATCGTCCAGCAGCCCATTGGGGCACACGCAGCCACTCACACACTCTGTGTGGTACTGGGGACGGCCAGAGAACAGGGTTCAGGAGGGGGCGGGCGAGATGTCCAGCGAGAGGCCTGCAGTGCAGACGCCCCTCACGTCCCAAGCCCCCGACCTCTCTCCCTAGCCCAGGTTCCCTCCCCCCAGGCCCCCACTAGGCAGGAGACCATGGAGATTCCCCACCCACCTAGGGCCCTGAACTGGCCCCTAAGCCCCAGCAGGCCCAGAGGGTGCCGCTTGCCTCCTAGGATGTGGCAGCATCACCAGAGCCCCCTGTGTCCCCAGGACTCGGCACACAGAGCCTGGCAGGGGGCACAGCACAGAGGGCTGCCTGCACCCTCCTGACAGGCTCCGATGGCCAAGGACCCCACCCCCTGCTCAGCCCCCAACACGCACATAGCCGGCGGCCAGCGTCTGG